TATTTTTAAAAAAGAATAAAAAATTAAATTTTTTAAAATGTTAGAAATATTTTTATTTTTATTAAATTAAAAATTATAATTTTATTCATATAAACAATTTTTTAATAAATTATTTATAATAATTAAAAAAAAATTTATAATATATATTGGTAAAAAATTAACAAAATAATAGTTTAAAAAATATTTTAGAATTATAAATAAATTTTCAAAATATATTTTTAATATAAAATTATTAATAGCTTTATAAATTTCCCTGTAAATTAAAAAATATTATATCATTTTTTTAAAATAAAATTAAGAACACAATAAATCATTTATTATCCCTTAAACATAATAAATCATTAAAAAATTATTATTAATATTTTTTTTTTATTATATTAATAATAATATTTATAAATTATGTTTATTTTTTTATTAATATTATTTTAATAAGGTTAATATAAAATTAACAAATATTTAATTATTAGGTTTAATATAATAAATAAAAATATTTATTTTATTTTTTTTGTTAAAATTAAAATTAATATTCAAAAAATTTTGTCAGAATATAAATAAATTTTTTATTATTTTTAATTAAATTTAATAGCTATATTATTTTTTATTTATTAATAAAAAAATAGCTAATATTTAATAGATATATTTATAAATTTATTTAATTGTCGCAATATTTTAATTATATAGTTTAATATATAAATAAAAAAAAAAAAATATATAATTTTTTATATTAATTATATAATTTAATAGGAAATTATAAATCTGGAAAAAAATATATTTAATTAAAAATATTAAATAAATATAAATAAATATTATTATATGGTAATTAAAAGAATTTTTATAATTTTTGTATTTTATCAAATTAAATATTTTTTTTTATAATATTTAAAATATAGTATTTTTTGTTAATATTTTTATTTTTTAATTTATCGTCTGGTGGTTCCAAAAAATTATTTAATAAAAAATAAAAAAATTTTTTTTCTGTATAAATTTAATAAATTAATTTTTATTTATATTTTTTTTTTAATTTTATATAATTTATAATTTTTTTTAATTAAATTTTTATATAATTTTATTATTTTTTAATTTATTAGCGATTTTTTTTTATTTTTTTATAATTAAATGTTGTGATTTTATTTATTATAAAAATTCTAATACATTTATTGTATTTTTATAATTAAAAAAATTTACGTTTGTTAAAATTTAATTAATATTTTTTAAATTTATTTTTAATTTAACTTTTATTTTATAAATATATAATATTTAATTTTAAAAAAAATATATATTAAGGAATTATTTATTAATTTTTTATATATGGATATTTTTCATATAAAAAAAATAAATATTTATATTTACGATAAATTATTTTATAATTTAATATGAAATTAAAGCGCAAATTTTTTTTTTCTAATATATGTATATTTTTTAGTAATTTATTATTATATAAAAAAAATATGAACTTTATGCACATTATTTTTAACATTTTTTTTTTATAACTTCACTAAAAAATAAATTAAAAATATTTATTCAAATAAAAATTTTTAAAAAAATAATATTATTTTTTTTTATTTGAATTAAATTTTATTGTCAAATTTTTGATATTATTTTATTTTATATTAATATTATATATTATTTTATTTTTTTAAGCATTATTATTTATAATTATTATTAATAAATAATAATAACATAAGTAAATAATACTATAATTAAATAAATAATATTTATAATAATAATAAAAAAAAAAAAATAATAATATATAATTTATATTAATATAATAATAATAATATTAAAAATTTAATAAGTAAAACGGATTTATTATTATTACTTATTATTATTTCTATTAATTATTATTATTCATTACTTATTATGATTATTTTTATTCATTACTTATTACTATTCATTATTATTATTATTTATTTTTATTATTCAATACCTAATAAAAAGTAATGAATAATAAAAAAATGGACAATAATAAGTGAAGTATGATAATAATAATAATCATAATTATTTAAAAAAGTAATGCATAATAAACATCAGCATCCCATATTTTTATTATTATTATTAATAAAAATAATATTATTTTTATTAATTACTTATTACTATTCATTATTAATATTATTATTATTTATTTTTATTATTCAATACCTAATAATGAGTAATGAATAATAAAAATGGACAATAATCAGTAAAGAATGCTAATAATAATAATACAAATAATAATAATAATCATAATTAGGAAAAAAGTAATGCATAATAAAAATCAGCATCCCATCTTATTATTATTATTATTATTATTATTATGGAAAATAATAGGTAAAAGAATGATGATAATAATAAAAAATAATAATATAATCATCATCATAATTAGGAGAAAGTAATGCATAATAAACATCAGCATCCCACATTAATATTATTAATAATAATAATTACTAATGATTATTTTTTTTTCATTACTTATTACTATTCAATTATTATTAATTATGTTTATTATTCAATACCTAATAATAAGTAAAGAATAATGATGGACAATAATAAGTAAAGAAGGATAATAATAATACAAATAATAAAAATAATCATAATTAGGAAAAAGTAATGCATAATAAATATCAGCATCCCATATTAATATTATTATTATGAATAATAATAATAATGATGATAATAATTACTAAATGATTATTTTTATTACTTACTATTCATTATTAATTATTATTAATTAATTATTTATTTTGTATTATTCAATACCTAATAAGTAATGAATAATAAAAATGGACAATAATAAGTAAAAGAGAATGATGATAATAATAATAATAATAAAAAAAAAAAAAATAATAATAATAATAAACGTAATTAGGAAAAAAGAGTAAAATGCATAATAAACATCAGCATCCCAAATTAATATTATTATTATTAATAATAATTACTAATGATTATTTTTTATTAATTACTTATTACTATTCATTATTATTATTATTTATTTTTATTATTCAATACCTAATAATAAGTAATGATTATAAAAATGGACAATAATAAGTAAAGAATGATATGATATAAAAAATATTAATAATAATCACAATAATAATATTCATTACATATTATGTATTATTATTATTTTTATTAATAAAACTAATAAGTAGTGAATATTATTGCAAATATTATTTTTATTATTTATTACTAAAATATGAATATTGTTCTTCAATGACTCAGAAAAAAGTTAAGAACCACTGTGCTAAGAGATGTGGAGTTTGACCCCCAATAGAGATATTTTCTGATAAGTGGAGTTGGGTAGGCAGAGTCACCCTCTGGTCTAACATCTCTAGGAGGGTGGGGGTTGGGGGGGGGGGGGGGTTGGGGGGGGGGGGGTTGGAGCAATGAGCTGTCACTGTCAAAATTCCTGGCTTTTTTCCCAGCTGCTGTGAAATTCTGGCTGTTTGTGAGCCGAGTCTTGCAGCTCCAGTCTGCACTTTATAGGAAAGAAGCCTGAAAGTGGAAGTTTCCTCCATCTGTTCCATCCGCCTAAAATGTTCAGACTAGCAGAGTTTTATGATGTGGTCCTCCTAGACGAGTATGATGTAGGGATTGCCACTTCTGCCTCCTGGGAAGTCCATGTCGTACATCTCAGGAGGCAGTCTTAGTAAGCAAGGGTTCAGCTAGATCCATCATTGGTGGTCAGTGGGAAGAATGTCCCTTACATTGGGGGTCAGTGGGAAGAATGTCTCTTACATTGGGGATCAGTGGGAAGAATGTTCCTTACATTGGTGGTCAGTGGGAAGAATGCCCCTTACATTGGTGGTCAGTGGGAAGAATGTCCCTTACATTGGTGATCAGTGGGAAGAATGTCCCTTACATTGGTGGTCAGTGGGAAGAAATGTCCCTTACATTGGTGATCAGTGGAAGAATGTCCCTTACATTGGTGGTCAGTGGGAAGAATGTCCCTTACATTGGTGGTCAGTGGAAGAATGTCCCTTACATTGGTGGTCAGTGTGGGAAGAATGTCCCTTACATTGGTGGTCAGTGGGAAGAATGTCCCTTACATTGGTGGTCAGTGGGAAGAATGTCCCTTATGTCCCTTACATTGGTGGTCAGTGGGAAGAATGTGTCCTTACATTGGTGGTCAGTGGGAAGAATGTCCCTTACATTGGTGGTCAGTGGGAAGAATGTCCCTTACATTGGGGGTCAGTGGGAAGAATGTCCCTTACATTGGGGGTCAGTGGGAAGAATGTCCCTTACATTGGTGATCAGTGGGAAGAATGTCCCTTACATTGGTGATCAGTGGGAAGAATGTCCCTTACATTGGGGGTCAGTCAGTGGGAAGAATGTCCCTTACATTGGTGGTCAGTGGGAAGAATGTCCCTTACATTGGGGGTCAGTGGGAAGAATGTCCCTTTACATTGGTGGTCAGTGGGAAGAATGTCCCTTACATTGGGGGTCAGTGGGAAGAATGAATGTCCCTTACATTGGTGGTCAGTGGGAAGAATGTCCCTTACATTGGGGTCAGTGGGAAGAATGTCCCTTACATTGGGGTCAGTGGGAAGAATGTCCCTTACATTGGGGGTCAGTGGGAAGAATGTCCCTTACATTGGGGGTCAGTGGGAAGAATGTCCCTTACATTGGTGGTCAGTGGGAAGAATGTCCCTTACATTGGTGGTCAGTGGGAAGGGAAAGAATGTCCCTTACATTGGTGGTCAGTGGGAAGAATGTCCCTTACATTGGTGGTCAGTGGGAAGAATGTCCCTTACATTGGTGGTCAGTGGGAAGAATGTCCCTTACATTGGTGGTCAGTGGGAAGAATGTCCCTTACATTGGGTGGTCAGTGGGAAGAATGTCCCTTACATTGGTGGTCAGTGGGAATGAATGTCCCTTACATTGGTGGTCAGTGGGAAGAATGTCCTTACATTGGTGGTCAGTGGGAAGAATGTCCCTTACATTGGTGGTCAGTGGGAAGAATGTCCCTTACATTGGTGGGTCAGTGGGAAGAATGTCCCTTACATTGGTGGTCAGTGGGAAGAATGTCCCTTACATTGGTGATCAGTGGGAAGAATGTCCCTTACATTGGTGGTCAGTGGGAAGAATGTCCCTTACATTGGGGGTCAGTGGGAAGAATGTCCCTTACATTGGGGGTCAGTGGGAAGAATGTGTCCTTACATTGGTGGTCAGTGGGAAGAATGTCCCTTACATTGGGGGTCAGTGGGAAGAATGTCCCTTACATTGGTGGTCAGTGGGAAGAATGTCCCTTACATTGGGGGGTCAGTGGGAAGAATGTCCCTTACATTGGGGTCAGTGGGAAGAATGTCCCTTACATTGGTGGTCAGTGGGAAGAATGTCCCTTACATTGGGGGTCAGTGGGAAGAATGTTCCTTACATTGGTGGTCAGTGGGAAGAATGTCCCTTACATTGGGGGTCAGTGGGAAGAATGTCCCTTACATTGGTGGTCAGTGGGAAGAATGTCCCTTACATTGGTGGTCAGTGGGAAGAATGTCCCTTACATTGGGGGTCAGTGGGAAGAATGTCCCTTACATTGGTGGTCAGTGGGAAGAATGTCCCTTACATTGGTGGTCAGTGGGAAGAATGTCCCTTACATTGGTGGTCAGTGGGAAGAATGTCCCTTACATTGGTGATCAGTGGGAAGAATGTCCCTTACATTGGTGGTCAGTGGGAAGAATGTCCCTTACATTGGGGGAATGTCCCTTACATTGGGGGTCAGTGGGAAGAATGTCCCTTACATTGGTGGTCAGTGGGAAGAATGTCCCTTACATTGGGGGGTCAGTGGGAAGAATGTCCCTTACATTGGTGGTCAGTGGGAAGAATGTCCCTTACATTGGTGGGTCAGTGGGAAGAATGTCCCTTACATTGGGGGTCAGTGGGAAGAATGTCCCTTACATTGGTGGTCAGTGGGAAGAATGTCCCTTACATTGGGGTCAGTGGGAAGAATGTCCCTTTACATTGGTGGGTCAGTCAGTGGGAAGAATGTGTCCCTTACATTGGTGGTCAGTGGGAAGAATGTCCCTTACATTGGTGGTCATCAGTGGAAAGAATGTCCCTTACATTGGTGGTCAGTGGGAAGAATGTGTCCTTACATTGGTGGTCAGTGGGAAGAATGTCCCTTACATTGGGGTCAGTGGGAAATGTCCCTTACATTGGTGGTCAGTGGGAAGAATGAATGTCCCCTTACATTGGTGGTCAGTGGGGAGAAGAATGTCCCTTACATTGGTGGTCAGTGGGAAGAATGTCCCTTACATTGGGGTCAGTGGGAAGAATGTCCCTTACATTGGGGGTCAGTGGGAAGAATGTCCCTTACATTTGGGTGATCAGTGGGAAGAATGTCCCTTACATTGGGGTCAGTGGGGAAAGAATGTCCCTTACTTGGTGGTCAGTGGGAAGAATGTCCCTTACATTGGTGGGTCAGTGGGAAGAATGTCCCTTACATTGGGTGGTCAGTGGGAAGAATGTCCCTTACATTGGTGGTCAGTGGGAAGAATGTCCCTTACATTGGTGGTCAGTGGGAAGAATGTCCCTTACATTGGTGTCAGTGTGGGAAGAATGTCCCTTACATTGGGGTCAGTGTGGGAAGAATGTCCCTTACATTGGTGGTCAGTGGGAAGAATGTCCCTTACATTGGTGGTCAGTGGGAAGAATGTCCCTTACATTGGTGGTCAGTGGGAAGAATGTCCCTTACATTGGTGATCAGTGGGAAGAATGTGTCCTTACATTGGTGGTCAGTGGGAAGAATGTCCCTTACATTGGTGGTCAGTGGGAAGAATGTCCCTTACATTGGTGGTCAGTGGGAAGAATGTCCCTTACATTGGTGGTCAGTGGGAAGAATGTCCCTTACATTGGGGTCAGTGGGAAGAATGTCTTACATTGGTGGTCAGTGGGAAGAATGTCCCTTACATTGGTGGTCAGTGGGAAGAATGTCCCTTACATTGGTGGTCAGTGGGAAGAATGTCCCTTACATTGGTGGTCAGTGGGAAGAATGTCCCTTACATTGGTGGGTCAGTGGGAAGAATGTCCCTTACATTGGGGGTCAGTGGGAAGAATGTCCCTTACATTGGTGGTCAGTGGGAAGAATGTCCCTTACATTGGGGGATCAGTGGGAAGAATGTCCCTTACATTGGTGGTCAGTGGGAAGAATGTCCCTTACATTGGTGGTCAGTGGGAAGAATGTCCCTTACATTGGTGGGTCAGTGGGAAGAATGTCCCTTACATTGGTGGTCAGTGGGAAGAATGTCCCTTACATTGGGGTCAGTGGGAAGAATGTCCCTTACATTGGGGGTCAGTCAGTGGGAAGAATGTCCCTTACATTGGGGGTCAGTGGGAAGAATGTCCCTTACATTGGTGGTCAGTGGGAAGAATGTCCCTTACATTGGTGGTCAGTGGGAAGAATGTCCCTTACATTGGTGATCAGTGGGAAGAATGTCCCTTACATTGGGGGTCAGTGGGAAGAATGTCCCTTACATTGGTGGGTCAGTGGGGGAAGAATGTCCCTTACATTGGTGGTCAGTGGGGAAGAATGTCCCTTACATTGGTGGTCAGTGGGAAGAATGTCCCTTACATTGGGGTCAGTGGGAAGAATGTCCCTTACATTGGTGGTCAGTGGGAAGAATGTCCCTTACATTGGTGGTCAGTGGGAAGAATGTCCCTTACATTGGTGGTCAGTGGGAAGAATGTCCCTTACATTGGTGGTCAGTGGGAAGAATGTCCCTTACATTGGTGGTCAGTGGGAAGAATGTCCCTTACATTGGGGTCAGTGGGAAGAATGTCCCTTACATTGGTGGTCAGTGGGAAGAATGTCCCTTACATTGGTGGTCAGTGGGAAGAATGTCCCTTACATTGGTGGGTCAGTGGGAAGAATGTCCCTTACATTGGTGGTCAGTGGGAAGAATGTCCCTTACATTGGGGTCAGTGGGAAGAATGTCCTCTTACATTGGGGTCAGTGGGAAGAATGTCCCTTACATTGGTGGTCAGTGGGAAGAATGTCCCTTACATTGGGTGGTCAGTGGGAAGAATGTCCCTTACATTGGTGTCAGTGGGAAGAATGTCCCTTACATTGGTGGTCAGTGGGAAGAATGTCCCTTACATTGGTGGTCAGTGGGAAGAATGTCCCTTACATTGGTGGTCAGTGTGGGAAGAATGTCCCTTACATTGGTGATCAGTGGGAAGAATGTCCCTTACATTGGTGGTCAGTGGGAAGAATGTCCCTTACATTGGGGGTCAGTGGGAAGAATGTGTCCCTTACATTGGTGGTCAGTGGAAGAATGATCCTTACATTGGTGGTCAGTGGGAAGAATGTCCCTCCCTTACATTGGGGGGTCAGTGGAAGGAAGAATGTCCCTTACATTGGTGGGTCAGTGGGAAGAATGTCCCTTACATTGGGGTCAGTGGGAAGAATGTCCCTTACATTGGTGGTCAGTGGGAAGAATGTCCCTTACATTGGTGGTCAGTGGGAAGAAGAATGTCCCTTTACATTGGTGGTCAGTGGGAAGAATGTCCCTTACATTGGTGGTCAGTGGGAAGAATGTCCCTTACATTGGGGGTCAGTGGGAAGAATGTCCCTACATTGGTGGTCAGTGGGAAGAATGTCCCTTACATTGGGGGTCAGTGGGGAAGAATGTCCCTTACATTGGGGTCAGTGGGAAGAATGTCCTTACATTGGGGGTCAGTGGGAAGAATGTCCCTTACATTGGTGGGTCAGTGGGAAGAATGTCCCTTACATTGGTGGTCAGTGGGAAGAATGTCCCTTACATTGGTGGTCAGTGGGAAGAATGTCCCTTACATTGGTGGTCAGTGGGAAGAATGTCTTTACATTGGTGGTCAGTGGGAAGAATGTCCCTTACATTGGTGGGGTCAGTGGGAAGAATGTCCCTTACATTGGGGGTCAGTGGGAAGAATGTCCCTTACATTGGTGGTCAGTGGGAAGAATGTCCCTTACATTGGGGGTCAGTCAGTGGGAAGAATGTCCCTTACATTGGGTCAGTGGGAAGAATGTCCCTTACATTGGGGGTCAGTGGGAAGAATGTCCCTTACATTGGGGGTCAGTGGGAAGAATGTCCCTTACATTGGGGTCAGTGGGAAGAATGTCCCTTACATTGGTGGTCAGTGGGAAGAATGTCCCTTACATTGGGGGTCAGTGGGAAGAATGTCCCTTACATTGGGGGTCAGTGGGAAGAATGTCCCTTACATTGGTGGGTCAGTGGGAAAGAATGTCCCTTACATTGGTGGGGTCAGTGGGAAGAATGTCCCTTACATTGGGGGTCAGTGGGAAGAATGTCCCTTACATTGGTGGTCAGTGAAAGAATGTCCCTTACATTGGGGGTCAGTGGGAAGAATGTCCCTTACATTGGGGGTCAGTGGGAAGAATGTCCCTTACATTGGTGGTCAGTGGGAAGAATGTCCCTTACATTGGTGGTCAGTGGGAAGAATGTCCCTTACATTGGTGGTCAGTGGGAAGAATGTCCCTTACATTGGTGTCAGTGGGAAGAATGTCCCTTACATTGGTGGTCAGTGGGAAGAATGTCCCCATACATTGGTGGGTCAGTGGGAAGAATGTCCCCCTTACATTGGTGGTCAGTGGGAAGAATGTCCCTTACATTGGTGGTCAGTGGGAAGAATGTCCCTTACATTGGGTGGTCAGTGGGAAGAATGTGCCTTACATTGGTGGTCAGTGGGAAGAATGTCCCTTACATTGGTGCTTACATTGGGGGTCAGTGGGAAGAATAGTGCCTTATCATTGGTGTCAGTGGGAAGAATAATGCTCCTTTCATTGAGGGGGGTCATGGGAAGAACTCCCATCATTGGTGTCAGTCCTGGTATTATGCTGCCAAAACATTGGTGTTAGTGGTTACTTTTCTGAGAGGCAGAATGGCTTGACATTCATGAGAATTGTAATGGCCATAGGAATCACCCTAGCAAGCCTTCCAGGGATCATGCTGGTGATGAAACAGCTGTGGAACATTGGAGCTTTCATTAAATTCTGTCCAAAGTACTCTAATGAATATCGCATGTACGTTCCCCAAGTTCCTAAAAAACTGAACTCTGAATACATAGGCACTGGACATAACAACCATTGTTAACGCTGATCAACATGCTGTCCATTCATCCTTCCAGGATAATAATTACTGCCCATTTAGCAGTGTAATGCTAGCAAAACGGAGAGGAAAATTACTACTCATTGAGTGTTCAGTAAAAATTGAGTGCTTCCAGTAAACAAAACAGTAAAGGTGAAAGGTGAATAGTATTTTTGATTGACATTGTTTCTTTCAGTGAATCATTATGAAAGGGGATCAGTGCCCATTATAAGTTTCTGTGGGTGCCCAGGAATAGTGCCCCAGGTGTCAGTGGGAGGAATAGTGCCCACCATCATTGGTGTCAGTGGGAGGAATAGTGCCCATCATTGGTGTCAGTGGGAGGAATAGGCAACCATCATTGGTACATGTCAGTGGGAAGGAAATAGTGCCCCACTCATTGGTGTCAGTGGATGAGGAATAGGTAGTTCATCATTGGTATCAGTGGGAGGGAATGCAGCCCATCATTGGTATCAGTGGAGGAATAGTGCCCCATCATTGGTGTCAGTGGAGGAATGTGAGTGCCCCATCTGTTGGTATCAGTGGGAGAATAGTGCCCCATCATTGGTGTGTCAGTGGGAGAATAGTGCCCATCATTGGTGTCAGTGGGAGGAATAGTGCCCCATCATTGGTGTCAGTGGGAGGAAATAGTGCCCCATCATGGTGGTGGAGTGAATAGTGCCCCATCATGGTGTCAGTGGAGGAATAGTGCCCCATCATTGGTGTCAGTGGGAGGAATAGTGCCCCATCATTGGTTCGTCAGTGGGAGGAATAGTGCCCCATCAGTTGGTGTCAGTGGAGGGAATAGTGCCCATCATTGGTACAGTGGGAGGAATAGTGCCCCATCATTGGTGTCAGTGGGAGGAATAGTGCCCCATCAGATTGTGTCAGTGGGAGGAATAGTGTCCCCATCATTTGGTGTCTAGTGGGAGGAATAGTGCCCCATCAGTGGTTGTCAGTGGGAGGACCCTAAAACCTGGAAGAAGGCTGACAACATACAGTTGTGAAATTCAAAATACGTGAGCAGTCAGACATCACTAACCGGATCAATCGCTGTTTTTGGTGCAGAAATGATATTTCTATATGGCAAATAATTTTACCTAGCAGGTGTAGTAGAGTCATAGAAATCCAACAGACCCAACAGTCATGACATGCATGCTGCTGATTCTGTTGTCATTGAATCACTCATTGAAAGGGGTGCGTGTTCAATAATAATAGCAGTGTGAGTTCATCTATTAGTGAGGTCATTCATTCTTTGAAGAACAGGTGGCAATTATTGCCCTTATTTAAGGAAGGAAGGCAGCAAATGTTGGGACATTCTGGTTACAGTGCATTTCTCTCTGAAATTCTGAGGAAAATGAGTCGTTCCAGACATTGTCAGGAAGAACATGCGTTTCCTTGATTAAAAGTTGATTGGAGAGGGGCTTTGGTTTTTAAAACATATAAAGAAGTGCAGAACATGATCGGAGGCATGAATAAAGTCCACCCCACTCAGCTAAAATGATGGGCAAATGCTTTATAATGGCAACCAAAACCTGAAAGACGTGGAATAGCCTAGAGAAAAACTACCATTGGAATGGATAGGAAGAATAGCCAAAATGGCGCGGACTCAGCCAACAATCAGCTCAGGAAGATGAAAGAAGGTCCTACTAAATGCTCCCATTGTAAGATGCAATTTAGAAGACGCCGATGTGAAGCCAAACACCTATCTGCAATACGAAAGTTCCCCGCAAAGTCACTTATGTTGGGAAAAAATCTATATGATTACGGTATTGGTGCTGAATAAGATGATGCATAAGGCCAAAGGGAGGTCATTGACTCTGGCCTAAAGCGAAATGAAGGCAACCATTTTGTGGATGATGGATACAGATTGTTCTTTTTGGGAATGCTAGTGGGCGGGAGCCAGTTTGTCAGACGACCCCCAAACATTCTGCCATCTCAAGCCACAGTTACCGAGCTGTGAAGACTGTAATACCATACATTGTAAATGCAAATGGCCCAATTGCAGCCTTCAGAGCTTTTTCTCATTAAGCACGGTGAGAGACATATGAATACCAGGAATCATGATCAGTTTGAAAGTTCGATCAGAATACATACTTGCGAAGAGGTTCATGACATGCCTTATGCTGAAGAGGAATTGCCCTTGAAATGGGTGTTCCAACAAGACAACGTCCCCAAACACACCAGTAAACATGCAACATCTTGGTTTCCAGACCAACAAGATGGACGTTATGGAGTGGCCAGCCCCAATCCCCGGATCTTCATCCAATAGAAAACTTGTGGGGGTGACATCAAAAAATGCCGTTTCTGAGGCAAAACCAAGAAATAGAGAAAACTGTGGAATGTGGTCCAATCATCCTGGGCTGGAATACCTGATCACAGGGGCCAGAAAGTTGGGGGACTCCATGCAACACAGATGTACAGCAGTTCTCAGAAACAGTGCGACTACAACCAAATATTCATGAAGTCATTCAAAGGAAAGCAAAATCTTCAAACATTTCTCAGGTTATATAGTGAATGTTTGAGTTTTGTAAAGAAGAATACAAACACTGCGATTTTTTTTGAAACCGTCTAATATTCACTTTTCTTCCATTTTTTTAGAGGAACAACACATTATTTGATGTATTTTTCTTCATGTTATGATTTGGAATAGAATGTGTCGTGTTCCCAATGCATTTGTGTGGATGGAAATAAAAGCTATTAGAAGGATTTTCAGCTTTATTCACTTTTTTCAACACACTGCTATTATTTTGAACACAAACATACATGTACCTTCCTGCGCCCGCACTCGCGCTCGCTCACAGTATATTTATTAGGTTTTTTTCTGCCATAGATTTGATTACTTGGTGTATTCATAATAACAAGGAATTGTTTTCCTGCCTGAATAAAACTGTTTATAGAACAATGTCTTGCTATTAATAATAAACTCAGCACCGAGTTCGGAGTGGCCGTTATCGCCATGTTTATTCGTTCACTCAGCAAGGGACCTGCCTAATCAAGGCGCCTCATAGCGATGTGTAAATACCGCGTTTCTGAACCACCTTAGATCGGCTGCCCTGCGCTAATCTTTTGGGTTTGAGAAAACAGCCCATAGCTGATAGGCTTGGAATGAACGCGGCGTGTTCCAGCCTCTTAAACCTTGGCACAATCATAATCGAGGTTAGCCTTTTATTTCTGCCAATGTACATCCTAGGCATAGCGATACAAAAATACACGCCTGCAAATGATAAAATGGGAGTTCAAGTAAATGCATAGTCCTGTAGGTGGCGTCACTTTCCATGACAGGGTCTCTTTAGGTATGGAGGGGAACACTGGGAAGGTGTTCTCCTGGAATTCCCATTGACATCACTGGAGTTGATTTATTAAAAGACTAAAAGACTGAACTTTGCAAGTGCAGTTGCTCCAGAGCAGTGGTCTCCAAACTGTGGCCCTCTGATAGCCTTTATCTGGCCCTCGGGGCACTATTCCTTCCACTGACACCAGTATTGGGGCATAATTTCTGTCACTGATTCCACTGATGGGGCACTATTCCTTTCCATTAATACCTATGATGAGGCAACTGTTCTTCCTCCACTGACACCAATGATGGGGGCACTATTCCTCTCCCACTGACACCAATGATGGGGCACTATTCCTCCCACTGACACCAATGATGGGGCACTATTCCTCCCACTGATACCAATGATGGGCACTATTCCTCCCACTGACACCAATGATGGGGCACTATTCCTCCCCTGACACCAATGATGGGACACTATTCCTCCCACTGACACCAATGACGGACACCTATTCCTTCCACTGATACCAATGATGGGGCACTATTCCTCCCACTGACACCAATGATGGACACTATTCCTCCCACTGACACCAATGATGGGGCGCTATTCCTCCCCCTGACACCAATGATGGGGCGACCTCCACCACCAATAATGGGGCCGCAATATTCCTCCTACTGACACCAATGATGGGGCGCTATTCCTCCCACTGACACCAATGATGGGGCGCTATTCCTCCCACTATTACAATGATGGGGGCGCTATTCCTCCCACTGACACCATTGATGGGGCACTATTCCTCCCACTGACACCAATGATGGGGCACTATTCCTCCCACTGATACCAATGATGGGCACTATTCCTCCCCTGACACCAATGATGGGGCACTATTCCTCCCACTGACACCAATGATGGGACACTATTCCTCCCACTGACACCAATGATGGGGCACTATTCCTCCCACTGACACCAATGATGGGGCACTATTCCTCCCACTGATACCAATGATGGGCACTATTCCTCCCACTGACACCAATGATGGGGCACTATTCCTCCCCCTGACACCAATGATGGGACACTATTCCTCCCACTGACACCAATGACGGGACCCTATTCCTTCCACTGATACCAATGATGGGGCACTATTCCTCCCACTGACACCAATGACAGGACACTATTCCTCCCACTGACACCAATGATGGGGCACTATTCCTCTCACTGACACCAATGATGGGGCACCATATTCCTCCCACTGACACCAATGATGGGGCACTATTCCTCCCACCAATGATGGGGCACCAATACATGATGCACTATTCCTCCCACTGATACCAACGACTATTCCTCCCATGACACCAATGATGGGGGCACTATTCCTCCCACTGACACCATTGATGGGGCACTATTCCTCCCACTGACACCAATGATGGGGCACTATTCCTCCCACTGATACCAATGATGGGGCACTATTCCTCCCACTGACACCAATGATTGGGGCACTATTCCTCCCACTGACACCAATGATGGGGCACTATTCCTCTCCAATCACTAATACCAATGATGGGCACATATTCCTCCCACTGACACCAATGATGGGGCACTATTCCTCCCACTGATACCAATGATGGGGCACTATTCCTCCCACTGACACCAATGATGGGGCACTATTCCTCCCACTGACACCAATGATGGGGCACTATTCCTCCCACTGACACCAATGATGGGGCAGGGACCATACAGTGTGGGTCCAGCCCCACTACATGGTGAACCTTTTTTTTTTGCCCGGAGTTCTGCTTTAAGCTTTGGCATTAAAACCTGGAAGCTGATTGGACTTTTTTGCAGACCTGCACCATATTTTGTACTTTCCCAAATTCACAAGAGGACCGATGTGTCAGTCCATGGAGGGATCTTCCTCTTTGTCATCAATGGGAATTATTGTGGATATTCTGGCCCGCCATGCTGGACTCTGTGAGCTGAAAGCTACAGTTAAGTCTTTGAAGGTTTTTTTTTTTTTCTTTTTTTCCATCTTCACTTCTTGGGAAGATCCATCTTGGGAATGTCTCGTGAATGATCCAGTTTCCCTGTAATTGTCATAAACGGCGTTATCGTGAGTCATTCAATCATACTGATGTCATACAAACATGCTATATATTAGTTTATGTATGACGACTATAACAGAAGCTGTACATTGAGGCTCAGAGTTATATTTTTTTCATTTTCTGGTATTTAAAGTGATGCACATACACTATATTGCCAAAAGTATTGGTCGGCCGTCCTTTCCACACACATGAACTTTAATGGCCCCCAGTCTTAGTCCGTAGGGTTCAATATTGAGTTGGCCCC